CCCACCTCCGACCAACCAACACGTGTACGTGTATTATTCACTTGTGCGCCAACTTATTGCCATATGCTCGGATTTTTACGGAGAGTACACGGCAGTACCGCGCGACCGACTGCTTTAGCATATTTCTAAGAAAAGATTATCAAAAGAGGCTTGTTTGTTGCTTAGATAATTGACGAGATACAACTTAGTAATGTGTCTCGAGCCGTACACTTCCAATTACATCGTCTACGTATATTATTACAGAAAGCGACAAAACGGATTTAATATTAATAACCTACATACTTGTTCGCGCTCCTTACAAGCATTTTCAATTGAAATTACTTCGCTGAATTACTATCAGCGGTTTAGCCTCTCGAAAGCGTATTGTCGATATGCCCTAATAATAATGCGCGTTACGTGGATTTTTATTTATAATTATTCATCGCTCGATAATGACATATGGAACGGAAATCAAGACCTCATTGTACTTTTAGTAAAATCAAATTTTGACTTCCATGCACATTTGACAATTATCGATCAACCAGTCAGCTTAGATTTGATCAAATATTAGATTATACAAGTTTATATATATATGTATACACTAAAACAAGATTACTACTAATCATTAAAGAGTGAAGAAAAAAAGACTCGTTTCATTGTGACACTTTTTTTCTTTCTCGACAAGTAAAATATGCTTTTGCACATAATACTTTTTAATGTTTTTTTTTTTTTTTTTTAATTTTATTTTATCATTATTATTGTTTTATCAATGTCATAAAATATCGTATTTCTATTAATTTATATATTGCAATTAAATTTGATAATGATTATTAATATTTAAAAAGCATATGCTAACTTATCTTCATGGCCATCGCATAATTCAGTCGGTGGTCATGGAAATTTTGCACGACCGTAAACATTTTTCGATTTAGCCTATCAATAATATATTATTGCCAAAATAAAGGAAAAAGACTTATCGACGTGCTCTTTATCATCGTGAATTCAATTTTTGTAAATATTACTTTATACATAGAAACGATTTTATACACAGGAAAGTGCAAATACGTCGATATGAGCTTACGTATGTAGAGGAGCGATAAATTCATTGTCTTTCAAAAGTACTTTCGGTATCGTTTATTAACAAAAATACGATAATCCCGTTGAAAAGGAAAGCATATTGAACGAGATTTATTCGATCTTGATGCAATAGTATCCGTGCATATATATTTCTATAAATAATAAATACTTATTTTGGAGCTGTCGAATAAAAATACAGATTTATATTTTTATCTCAAACGTCCAAGAAAATATAATTTTTACATTGTAGGATGGAAATTTTTTTAGTTTTTTTGTTTGTTTATTTGTTTATTTGTTAATGACATACATTACGTTGTATTTTTATTTAAATATGTAGTAATGGACTTTTTCGTGCAGTATCGGCAAATTTTTTTTTTTTTTTACAATTATAACGATTATCATTGTTTATCGCCGATTTGGTGTTAGTTTAAATTTTTTAAATCTCGTTTATTAATAAATTTCCTATCGATTACGCCAAAACTTAATTAAACGCAATTGAAACGCGCACGATCTCGTGCAAATTGCAATCTCGACTATATTACAAAATCTATTAATAATTAGGCAGACTCTATTTTCGCTATTTTCCCGTTAAATCAACTTTTTCGCAAATTCGCCCAATGACACGAGAGATAACAACAAAGGCGGTATAATCCGTGTACGAGATACGCGGCCACCGACCACGGCTCCTTCGAAACGCTTTTCTTTTTTCTTTTTTCTTCTCTCGTTCCTTCTTTTTCTATCCCACATTATATAACCAACGATATAATTGCTGCTTCGGCATCGGCGGCTGATTTTCCCGTCACTTTTTACAATAATCCACCATATGCTTCGTTGAAAAAAGACGCCCAACATTTCATAACATTGGCTCGCCGACACGAGGCCACCAGCAGCCTGTCAAACTCTTATCGCGGACGGGACTTTCCCTTTCGCAATCCACGGCTCTACTTTGTGGACTCGAGATCGACTTACTTTGGGGACATCGTCGATCGTCGCGTACGACGGGGAGGGGGGGGGGGCACACGCCCAA